AAGTCAGCCAAGAGCCAGAGCAATCTCTTTTTAAGAAAGAAGAAAAAGCTATAAATCTGCAGTAGCTTTAGAAACTGCTGAGGAGGGAAAAAATTATAATAAGGAATCAAAATAGGACATTGACCTCTGTGAAAAGATCAGATACAAGAAGAATAAGCACTTGGCTAGAGAAAAAGTAGTCTCTCTGTGTATTATTTTTAAAGTAAATATGTCCTTGGAAATATTCTTAAGAATATTCAATCCTCAATCGCCCAATGGTGTTCGTCCACTACCAAAACTCAATAAAAATCCCAAATTAGCTTACAGATGAATTACAGCTTTTACAGCTGATCCTGAATCCAATATGATCCTATAGATGGGGTGGGCCAAACTCCTCAGAAGATGCCAAGAAACATTTGTGCCAGGCCAAAAAAGTGCTGAAACGTTCCACTGACATAGAACCCACAAGTCAACATGAAGCTTTCACTGAAAGATACAGCCTTTGAGTGCAGTTTTCCAGTGATCCAGCCAAAATTCAGAGATTATTGAAAAAAGTTCTCAAACCTAAAATGGTTCCAAATAGAGGTGTGTGTGAGATGGAAATTCTGCATGGAAACTTATTATTCACAACCAGTAAGTTCAATCACCGATCCCATTACACCAGAGGATTTTAATTCTTCCTGGAAGTTCCTTACAAATTATAGGTAACTGCAGTCTGAGCAGAACTAGGGCTTCTGTGTATTCTTAAACAAGTCAATTGTTTCAATGAGATAAGTACATTATTTCCACCAGACAGATAATTGTTTTCTTGTTCAATTGCATTACATTTGTGAATCCAGGTATAAAATGTTGCAAATGGAAAATTACTGAGAAGCAAAGCAGTCATTAGTGTGACTTATAAATGGAGCAAAGATGTCACAGAAGTTTTACTAATGCTCTTTTATGCTACTGAATATGTGGATTTTATTTTTTAATCTCTTATAAATCTGATTGCAGAGAAAACAATGTAAGTAGATCCTTGTGCCTTTACACAATACAAACTGATACACAACACAAACTGAACTAAGATGTCAGCTGGCCAAAATGAATGGCTAAATGACTTGGATATAATACACACAAAAATAAAAGTAAGTTAAGGATAAATTACTTGCCATCACAAAAAACCCAGAATATTGGGACCTGTGCAAAGTAAAAATAAGTAATTTTAAAGTATTGCTATTAGAAATAAATATTTTTAGATTTTGCTCTGTAGGTAGAGGAATTGTAACAGAAAAGTACATATTTGATTACTGTTGTGACACTATTTCCTCACAGAATTCTTAACTGTTAATTGTCCTCAATTAAGGAGCCTCAAAGCAGATAAGAGACATAAAATACATTTTAAAAATAATTAGCGCTTTGTTAGTTTAAGGTAGATTATTTCCAGATGGAAGTTGCACATTGTAGATGGTTACTGAGCAAGAATGGCCACCGAAAGTGTCTCTGCATAACAGAAAGTAAGAAGGCAGACAATTTAGAATGATAAACAAAATCTAACACACAACACATATCCTGGGGGCTTGAGAAGTTCCATTAATGAAGAAAATGTTGGTTTTTAATGCCTTCGGATTAAAGTTTATGCTGTTTTTCCCCCTAACTATTCAATAGTTTCTGGGTCAAATATATCAATTTACACTGTATATTTTTTAAATAAAGAAGTAATACTTTTTCCAAACTACTTCTAGAAATTCACTGTATTTCAAATTGTAGAGTGAGGAAAAAATTACAGGATATAGAATACAATTTAAACATCACATATTAATCAAATATCCAAAACTGATATTGATTATGACTTAGAGGAATGTGGCATTCAGAACAGAAAGTATTCCAGACTAAATTAAAAACGGGTATTGTGAGATACTGATGTTAACACTGATCAAGAAACATATGAGGAGGTGTGACATAAATTTGAATAAAATATGGTAAACATATAGGATCATTTTAATCAGTGATTCCTCTCTTCTTTTCAATTACATAAAATGATTCTATAAGATTTTAAGAGTAAAAAGTCTTTGTAATAGAATAAAAATTCCATAAGAACTAAAATTTCTTTATAGTGTTAGAATACAAGGAAAAAATGCTGCTTGTATGGTTTTTTCTGAGTTTTTAAAAACAGCTTAATTAATTTTAACTCTATAGAGTAGTGTTAGGTCCCCAGTTAAAAAAAATTTTTTTTAATCACACCTTTAATTTAGGAAGAATTTTTTTGGTCCAAACTGCTTTTAGACAATGTTATATAAAAGTTGTAATTTATTTCATATATATTACAAAATTTTGATTGATATTAAATTAATAAAAACTTCAAAAAGAGAGGTGAGGAAGAAGATTAGCTGTAATATTTGATTTATTTTCTGAATTTACCTAATGCCACTTCTGCAACTTAGAACAATTTTTGACATACAGATATTTCCTCCAGTATTATTCAGCTGTAAAGATCCTAAAAATTCTTATATTAACCTTAGTATTTTTGGAAAAGGAAATTAAAGTTCTAGGAATTAAAGGTTGAAGAATGATTCTACACATCTACTTAAAAGCAAAGTCAAGATTAGAGCAAAGAATCCTACTTCCTGTTTCAGTCTTCACTTAAAGTGAAAAATAAAGGTAAAAGCAATGTCCAGAGATCTTGAGTATCTGAAGAACAGCATTTAAAGCTGAGGAAACAAGAGTAGGTAAATAGTTGCCCCTTTGGAACTCACACTCTAGTGTGGAAGACAAGCCAATGTCAAGAGTAAACCCTGTCAACAACCAGTTTTCTCTTCCTGGAGAGCCTCAGTCAAATCCTCAGTCAAATCAAAACCAGCCCCTCCCATCCTTTAGTTCAGATATCACTGGGCATGTTGTGGATATATTAGTTTTCAGAAATGTTTTTATCACATCATTCTTGTCCAATTCTTTAACGCACGATGGCATCTTACTCTAAATAGATCCAATTATTTTCCTTACTATATGTTACTGTGCATAATTTGCCCCCACTTGGCCTATTAACCAGTTTCTTCCATCACTCTTCTAAATCAAAACTTACATTATAAGTGTCCAATATCTAAAATATGTTCTTCACTCATCAACACCCTTTCTTTCCTCAGCATGCTTTTATACTCTCGAAAGCACTGTGCATTCTCCTCTGCCTATCCCAATCCCATCTACCTGCTAAGATGTCTCTAGCTTCAACACCCTTTTGAAGTTTTCCTAACTCTACAAACCATATAAATCTTTAAATTTTCTAATCCTCATGTGCATTTAAGTTAAACAAAACCATGTTACCCTAAACTACTCTTGTCTTGTTCTCTAATTTATTTCTACTTTACATTTCTCTTTCCCTAATCCCCAGTCTCACCCTATCACCTCCAAATACATACCTCCTATTTATCTTGGGCTGAAAATCTCTGAATCTGTGATGTGCCAAGCAGTGTGTAAAGCAACAGATACAAAAAGAGGCACTACTCTCAAGAACCTTACAGTTTCATAAGAGAGATAGAAAATTACTCAAAAAATTATGGGGCAATGTACTGTATCCTATAATAAAGATACAAAGCTCTAAGAGAATACAAGTAATATAACAGAGAGATAATCTAAATTGTCCTAGCAGAATGATGTGGTAGGGGATAAATTTAACAGGAGGAGGAGGAAAAGAAAAGACATTTCAAGTACTGAGAATAAACCAGCGCAAAAGGAATAGAGACAATGAAGAATGTGTGTATATATATATATATATATATATACACATACACACACACACACACACACACATATATATATATATGCACATGTATACATATATATGATGAGACATTTACTAAAATTGTACACACTCTGGGTATAAAGGATCAGAACCCAGACACTGAATGACTGAAAAATAAGGGATTAATTTCAGCAGAAGAATAATTGAGTAATAGGTAGAGCCTCAGAAGCAAAAATGTCTGTAATACTGAGAATACTAAGTCCACAACCTGAGTGGAGTCAAGGAGAACCAGGCATTGCTGGAGGATGGAGCCAAGCCACCTCTAGCCAAGAGAGTTAAAAGTCCCTAAAGTATAGGTGAAATTCTATGTTTCTTATCCATGATCCTAAGGGACAAACATTTTCCATAACTCATTTGGCAACAAATGTAAGCTCATCTGGCAACAAAAATTGGCCTAAACTGACATGAGGCTATTTGTTGTTTTTAACTCATTTAGTATTAATGTCTATGAATTTGACTGCAGAAATATTATGTTTTCATGAGGAGCTGTCTCTGGCCCCATTAAAGGTGACATGACATGTAACACTGAGTATGTGCTTCACACTACATTTTTTAAATCTGATAAATTCTCAATTCCAAAACACACTTGGCCCCCAGGGTCTTAGATAAGATTCTATGGACTGTAGATTTTGAGGTTCCATACAACCAGTCATATATACAAAGGGATCTATTGCTCAAAACAGGTTTCAAAGTCCATGGAAGATCCATTTAGAATGGTTTTGTCAAGTGGAGGATAAGTTTTCAGTGCCACACACAGTCTATTATTGATCACTTCTGTGATCAGTGGCCAAGTTTATTTTACTTAATATTTATTAAAAACAAAAATAAACTGCCAATCATGAACTCCTAAATCAACCTTTTTCCTCCTCTTATAAATGCCAAGAATACAAACAAACAAACAAAAAAAAACTTGTAAAACAACATTCTCTTTGCCTCCTATAACCTTAATAGATAGTTTCCTGGAATTGTCTATTCAAATCGAAAATTAATTTCCATTCACAGCTGGAAATATCACATTGGCAAGCAAGAAAAACATCAAACATCAGTAGGTTAAATAAAAACTGAAAGAACTATGAAGACTCAACAAAACAGAACTTGTCTCAGTAAGATGGTCATATGAGAAAAGTTTTTAGCTGTTTATTTGATGTATGAATACATCTTTAAAAGTGAACTAGCAATAATCAAGGAAGCTTTGGATCCAGAAAAGCAACTAGGGAATTACATCATTCAAGAAGTTTCTCTAGTGTTGTATGAAAGGAGAAAAAGTTAGCAATCCTCACGCCAGGGATGAAGAGGTCCTCAGGCCTGCACAAAACACACATGCTTAAGGTATTGCCACCTACTTCATGGCATCTGACCTTGGGGTTTTGGTTTTGGTTTTGGTTTTTCACTTTGGGATGACAGAAAACTTCTAGAGATGGGTATTGGTGATAGCTGCACAATAATGTGAATGTGCTTAATGCCACTAAGGTATACATTCTAAAAAGGTTAAATGAGAAATTTTATGACATGTATTTTTACCACAATAAATGAAATAATTTCAATAATATACAAAACGCTTTTATAAACCAATTACAAAATAGAACAATCTAAAAGAAAAATGGGCAAAGAGCAAAAACAGAAACTCAGAACAGGGGAAGAAATTCCAGCATTTATGTGGAAAAACTATTCAAAACCACTACAAATCAAGAATGCAAGTAAAAGTGACTACAATCATGCTTAATCTTTCAAGTGCCAGAGATACTAAAAACTGAGAATTAAAAAAAGAACAAAAGAAGTACTTTTCTCTACCTAACGCCAAGATCAGGGTCTGCTTATAGATCTCCTTCCATTGGCTTGGACCTAATGTGTCTCCCTCTTTGTACTGACAGCCATCAAAAAAGAGCAGACTCATGGTGCCATCTGTGGACTGCTCCCTGATGCTGTAACTGCCTCAGGAAATGACTTGTGTGGCCAATATTCAACTAATAACCAAACTAAACCAAATCATACACTTATCAGAAACATTTTGAAAACAAAAGAAGGAAAGACAGAAAACAGAACACCACCTTCAGGAACTGCCACACAGAAAGACAAACAAGAAGCAGCAACAATGTAGAAAGGGCAAAACTCCACAAGGCATCCAGACAGTGGGCCCCCTTGGTCCTGCTTCCTCGATTCTTAGGTTATTGGGGAAAAACAAAAAAAAAAACCTCTTTCAGCTCTTAAGTGCAGAACTGACGCTTTGTAAATAGCAACAGAGAGAAAGCACAATAAAAATCAATGTTATGAAAGCAAGATACAGAAAAACATTCTACATGAATTTTATCACTGCAGGACTTCCTAATGTATGAAAGGCCGAATTCAAGATACCAGAAACATTCCCAGATAAAGCATAACAAAGTTCCAAAGTGACATTCTGTGTTATAAAACACGGAGTTACATCTCCATGATCTTTGGCAAACATCTCATACTTCGGTAAATCCAAAGGTATATCCCACAAGCAGTGAGGGATCAATTTAATTATCTGAGTATTTATTCTCCACATAGGAGGAGATAAGTGGCTGGCAAAATATCTGGCACAAAGCAGGAGCTCAGTAAATATTTGTTGAATTGAACTGAAACAAGTGGTAGAAGGTAATAAAGATGACCTGTATCAACTGATTAAATTTTCAGACTACTGTCCCAACTTTCCACCTGACATAACCTATGAAAAATAACTGGCCTTACTGATAGAGGATCTTTTTCACTTGGTATCACAAGTACTAACTAATCCCCAGCAACATGCTCAGAGGCTCAGTGAAGACTCATCTCCCAAGAATCAGTATCTTTGACCCAATTCCTGCTGACAAAAATACAGAAATTTTAAAGTATTGGCTGGAGAGAGGATGCAGAAAATGCACAGGTGATCAAAACCAAATTCTAACAAGAGAGGCTTATTGATAGATAAGCTACCTCATGGAGATTCACTCAAATCAACTGGGAGTCAGCCTCTTTCAATTTCCTCATCTGAAAAATGGGAGAAGAACTCAATCAGTGGCTTTCAAGCTTCTTCAACTGCTGCTTACACTGAAAAATACATTTCATATTAAGTGCAGTATATTTATACATTTGTAGAAACATGCTCATCTATGTAAAATTCAAACATCAGTTCTGCAAAATAATACTTAAATCTTGCAGTGTGTGTGCACTCTGGTATATTGTAGTGTGTTTTATTCTATTCCATTGTTAGACTGCAACTACTAAATTGATTTCATGGCACACTAATAGTTCATGGCATGCAATTTGGAAAGCACTGGACTAGATGATTTTTTTCCAATTCATTAAATAAAAAATGATTTTTACTCAGAAGCAATTTAAAAATATCTACCACTCCCAGATACTAGTTCCTCGATGACCTTTTCAAAGCTAATGCCTGAGTGAAATAATTCTTACAACATCTTTGTCTTCCCTTCTTCCTCACAGTGAATATCCATGATCCTTTCCACTCAAAAGACTTTAAATGTAATTTTCCCAGCGTGCGTGATTACTGACAAACCTGATAACAGAAGCAGGCACAAGGGACTCTGCAATAAAAAATTAAACATCTACCAAAAGAACTCCCTTTTACCCATAACGAAGTACATCTGAATCTTTGTAAATCATCAGGCAGTAGCTAAATCAGGCAAAAGTCAAAATGATACTCATGCAGCAGGAGCAAACCACATAAATCTTGATTTTAATTAAAGATATTTCAAAGTAGTTGCATTCGCCCTTCCAAACTACAGAATTTGTTCCTGAAATAAGAATATTCTGACTTTCTAGAATAGCATCTATTGTCACTTTTGTAGACTTTCTTAATCGGCTGCCTTCTGCTGCAACACCCCCACCTCATCCCACCTCATTTCCACCAACTTTAGTAATGCCCCAAACTGGTGGGTGTGCAGGAATCTCTGGTGAAAAATGAGCTTGCTTTGCATAAAACAATACTTCTCAATCACAATTGGGTTTGTTTGGGTTTTTTTCAGTATATAGCTGGGGAAAGACCTTGTTTACTTCTTCCTATTATAGCTGAAAAAAAACACCTAAAGTGTTGTCTTCTCAAAGGTTTTACAGTCTTGACATGGAATCCTAGCAGTATCATTTGTGCTTGTAAATGATTTCAAAATTCTCTACTCTAAACCTTCTCTTGGTTTCTAAGTCCACAGGGTAAAAAGGAAACAAACTCTTCTTTATTATTTATAAATTATATTTATATTCAAATTTATAATAAATCATAAAAATAAATAATTTGATCTTATAGTTTATAAAATAAAATGCAAAGCCTACAAGTTTTAAATTTAAAAAGCACTTCAATTTATAAATATCAAAGAAATACTAATGTCAAAAACTTAGGTCCATTGTAATCCTATAATCAAAGCATTCTGTGTATTTTCCAAAATTGGCAAGACATATTTTTATCTTTAAGTTTTGAACTACTAATTCTGGAGGAAAAACAAACACCATTAACTTCCTCTTCAGTCACTAGCTATCTGTGCCATGTGTTTTTATCGCTTCCTGCCACAAGGAAATACATTTGGAACAAAGAAAGATATTCAAAAGAAAGTTCTCCAGGTTAGCCTAAAATCATTCTTTCAGGAATTAAGAAAGAGTGTAAACATATTTAAATAATGGTACAGGATGATAAAACTATTCAGAAAACCTTCACATTTCTTTATTACATGATTTCATCTAAGGCTCAAAGAGATTTGCAAAGATTATCTGATAAACAAACTGAGTTGGTTAAGTAACTTCTTCACCCACACAGCTAATGAAAGGCAGAGGCAGAATTTAAATCCATTGTTTCATACTCAACCTCATGGTGGACAGTATATCACACCATTTTCCCTATAAGCCTTTTGGTCTAATCGTAGGTTTTTATTTTGGCCTATTTATCCAAACAGCATGGGTTTTTATGTGAGAATGGTGGGGAAAGTGATCAAGAGAAGTTGTAGATAGTGATAAAAATACAAGAACTGATTTATCATCTTACAGCCCAAGTTGTGTTCAACAATTATTTATTGAATCCTAGATACCTGGTGGTACACCAAATACTAGGGAATCCCAAACAAAGATACAAATTATAGCTCTTGCCCTAAGGAGTTAGTAAGAAATTTAGTAAAAACTTAGTCAGCTTTGGCTGCTATAACAAAATACCACAGACTGAGTGGTTTAAGCAACAGAAATTTATTTCTCACAGTACAAGACCAAGGTTTTGGCAGATCTGGTGTCTGGTGAGGGCTCTCTTCCTGGTTTGCAGATGGCTGTCTTCTAGCTGTGCTCCCATAGCCTTTCTTGGGTGCATGCCTATGGAGAGAGCTCTCTCACTCTCCCTCTTCCTCTTCTTATAAGGAACTAATCCCATCGTGAGGGTCTGTACTTATGACCTAATCTAGACCTATTAATCTCCCAAAGTCCCACCTCTAATATCATCACACTGAGGGCTAGGGCTTTAATATATGAATTTGCAATGTATGAATTTTAATATATGAATGGACTTCAACATACAAATGGACTTTAACATATGAATTTAAGCCCATAACAGGAACTTAACAGGTAAACAGATAATCACAATTAGTTTGATAGAGTTTAAAATTATTTCTTCACCTTCCAATTAAACATCTGTCCAAGTTTACTTCTAAGACTAATTTGTATGATAACCAAGGGGAGTCTAGATTTTTCCTTTTCATCAACAAAACAATTACATGCTACTATTTTACTTGCAATTTTTAAAATCTGAGGCCCATAAAAATACTATATTCAAAAGGAATTTGGGGAAAGCAGAAATTACTGAGAAGAAGAAAATATACATACATACACACACACACACATATATATAGTATAATAATATAAGAGATTTTAAAAGCTAGGTAATTTTATTAGTGGTGCAAATTAGAAAGAATAGAAGAAAAAGAGGAAAGCAATGATCTTAATTTCAGTGTATTATTTAACAGCCATTTCACCAAAAATGTAGGTTTGTATAGAACAATGACTCTATTACATCTTACTTTCTGGTCATTATTTTTCTCTTGTTTCATAATCTTATTTTTGTGAAACTTTTATCTTGCAATATTGAGGTCTTTTTATAATCCAGCTTATATCATTTTGGGGGAAGACAAGCCATATATGTATACGTGTGTCTGTCTGACTCTCTCTGTATATATATCATTATATATATTTTTATATGTATAAAATGATATATATAAAATTACATACATATAAAATTTAGAAATGGAACAATTCATGTGTTAGCTAAGCATTTATTTACAAGTTAAACTCTTTTATGTATTCCATATTGTGCTCACATAAAAATATCTCATGCTCATACAAATGTGAGAAAACCACCTCTTTGGAGAATTCACTTTAATTAAT